GTTTAATTATATGTTCATGAATTTAATTATTTAATGATGCATTTAATTAATAAATGGGAGATTTACATTAAAATAAAAAAGTAAAATAAAATAAAGAAGCTTTCCATCCAACTGGTCAACACATGATTCAAAGCATCGTCATGCTTCATTTGCCCTACTGCGCCATCAAGTGGACAGTAAGTGTGAACTAGTTTATAATGACGTGACTTATGAAGCTTTAAGTTGAATAAGGAAAAATGCATGTGTGTTTGTGGTGATCATAAATAAAATATAAATTTGATTTGAATATAATTTTAATCTCTTGATCATAGAATCATCATTGATTTTTGAAAGAATGAAAAAAGGAGAGTGCATGGAGAAAAACAGGGAAAGAGTATTGATGTGAATGTGCTTGTGTGGTTTGGAGACGGTGTTGATCATATTAGAGACACTTTTTTATTAGTTTGAACTTAAAAACAACTTTTTAAAAAGGTAAATTCATTATACACAACAAATATAAGTCAGAAATAAAATGAAAGGCAGCAGAAAAGGAAAACAATCTTAATAAATCTTATTAGCTTTTCCATTGTACTACGATCCAGATAGTTTCTGTTTGTTCTACATGGAGGTGTTTCCAAGTTCTTTTGAACACAACAGACACTCAACTTTTAATACATCAGAAATTAGAAAAAAAMAAACAAAATCAGAACTCATGATCCATTGTGTTGAGTTTTTTGATATTTTGGTAGTTATTATCAGCAATGTTTTAATACTACGTGCCTACATTATTACCTCCGCCAAGGAGGTAATGTTTTCAGTCGCGTATGTCTGTCTGTGGACAACATTACTCAAAAACTTGTGGACGGATTGTCAYGACATCTTTATCACATGTGGTTACTGGCACAACTAAACACACCGTTAAATTTTGGTGAGGTTCCGGATCAACGATGCGGATTCAGGAATTCTTTTCCTTTTAATCCTCTCAGATCAGCAAAGCTGTGATGCTTTCATAGGGCTTGTGTAAAAAACTGTGACAGCTTTCAGTGTTTGGACTTCAAACTTTATAAAAGTAATKTTARAACCAGATGTAATGATGAATAATTCTTGCCATAATGTGCGCATTTTTACGCATTTGGTGCGCATTTAGAGAATGTTTTGTGACCAGGAAGTGCGTGACTGCACCATGAAACCTATTTTTCCCATTTCCTCAAACACGCCACATTGTCGGTAGGCTTGTACGCAGATCGATGAAGATCGAGGAAGAGGAGTGACGCAGTGGACTTCAGACTCGGAGGTTGTTTGTTCATTTTTATAATTATTTAAATGAGGCCAGATCAAGTCAAGAGCTATTTGTTCGCCCCTCTATCCACCTCTCACCAAACTTTGGGGAAAAAAGAATGCGCAGAGCGTGGTTGTGACCGCTGTGTGTGGTCCTCACAAAGATAGGAAGATGCGTGTGTGTCTGTGTGATTAGACGCACGATGGAAACTCTGTTTTTTTTTAATCACATAGCACAGATGCGAAAGCTTTCAACAATAACGTCGGGTGACGAGTCTGACTTTTTTCCCACATTGGACTCCACCGGGAAGAAATACCATGAATGCGTAGCTGCGCGTTTAGTTCATCCTGTTTGATCAGGAGGATTCAGACAAAAAAAAGCTCAATTGAAATCCAAACTGAGCAGAAAAATATAGTTAAAAACAAACGGCGGTTCAGTGGTTTYCTCCCGCAGACCAAAATTAAAAAAACAAAACAAAAACATGTACACTAGGTTGCCTTCAGGCCCAGTGATCCCTTGCAATAAAGATCTGTGAGGTCAAAGGTTAAATAAAAGGTAAATAAATAAATAAAACAAGACACTCAGTAKGTCACAGAAGGATTATGGGTCGTTTCTTGTTCTGCGAGGACTCTGAGTGTGCGTACCTCTCGGAGGAGCAGGTGTGGAAGGCGGAGCTTGACCCGTGGATGGTCGAGCGGTGCTGAGATACTGGTGGTCACTGTCCAGGTCCAGCTTCCTCTTCACCTGTTGGGAAGCACAAATCTGTTACGACACATGAATAAACGACTTGTTGTGACTCTGAGGGTGCGCTGAGAGAGTGAGAGAAAYGTGAAACAGACTGAAAAGGGAACAGGGTGCTTCAAAGCGACATTTTAACCACTTCCCTTATCGCTTTTTTTTCGCTTTCTCTCATCTCCCACACGTCCCTCRTCTCCTCACCGGGGGTCTTCCCAGAGCAGGTCGCCTCTTGTCCTGGACCCCGACGTTGGCGGGGCCCTGCGGCGTGGCRAACAGCAGGATTTCCCCCGTGCTGGTGGGGGCTGCGGCGGGGTGGAGTCCCTCATTGCTGGGGCTGGTGATGATCACTATCTGGTGGTCCTCGCCCAGGCTGATGCTCCCGGAGTTCAGCAAGGTCTCGAAGTCTGCCAGCAGATCCTCCGACGTCTGGCCCGTTATCAGCGTCTCTGACATGGCACTGGGTCACCAAGTCCTGCTGGACTGGACTGAGGGGGGGTCACGGGCTACGATGCTGGGAACTGAGACCACCAACCTGCACCTGCAGGCATCTGCTGGACCCTGTCAACGTGTGGGAGCAAAGTGGAAACGCCTCAAGGCTCTGCAGGAGTTCAATGACAGCTGGATCATTTCCTCAAGTGTCCTTCACACACAGGCGTTTTMCTGACGTTTAACATTTTAACGTGGAAACTATTCAACAAGCTACTAGAAACAAAGAGACGTGATATTCTGCCAAAACAAGAGAAAGTGGCAAATGAAATATTATTGCTAAATTGCATAATAATAATAGCTTTGCCTTGTGGATAAAGCGAGGAAATGTTAACAGTGAGACTAAATATTCGCAGTTTTTTTTTTTGTTTTTCAAAACACAGGAGATAAGTGAGCYACATATGGGTGCAAGCTAATCTTTTGTTTTCATGTCTCCTGTCAGCGGCCGCGGCCTGAACGCTCCGCAGCTACCAAACACAGCTAACAGGCTAGCTCATGGAGCAACAACAAACAAGTTAATCAACAAAGCCGCGCGGCCGCCAAACGAGCCCTTTGCGACCGTAAAACTATAGATTTGATCCGCGAAGCCGAGTCGGGGCTCGGCTAAAGCGCTGCATGAAAACTTTACAGCAGCTTTTCAAAGTCAGCGATCGATGTAAAACACGGAGAAGTCAAAAGGCACCGCCGTAAAATCGGAAGCATCTCTGAGAAGATATTTATGAATGCGCGCGCTAGTCCGAGACTAAACGCAGTCATTAAGTTGAGTATTAAAATGTAGGGCAGGTTAGCATGTTAGCTTTAGTGATTAGCCGCAGTTCTTCAGTCCCCTGGTTATGTTGGGGCACTACACTCCACTGTATTGGCACAGTATGTGTGGCAGGAAGCAGTCCGACAAAACTGGAAATAAAAGGGAAACAAATCGGTCAAAGTACGCGCGCACGCTTCAAAGCCGCGGCCGATGGACTCCGAAGTGATCACCGCRGCGGTCGTTCTTTCGGAAAAAGCGTCCTCCCGAGCCCCCCACAGATATCCGCCGTTATTGTTGTTATTGTCCCAGCTGATCTGCGGCTAAACAAGCTTTGGAGAGTTTTCGCGCGAAATCTTTTTTGCCGCGAAACGTGCACGTGTCAAAATCAGACGATTGCCATTGGTCGAAATGGTGCGATTTCAGCAGGGAGAGTTTGACCTTGTCTGATTGGTGTAAGCGCCTGTCTGTCACAGTGACGAGCACAGAATCGTCGAGCGAGTGGTGCGTTTGTAATCCTCGGAAAAAACAATGTCGAGTAATGTTGATGCGGTTACTTTGTTTTTAATTAGCCTATAATCACTAGTCTAAGCTTTCATAACATTTCACACATGAAAAAATATTTTCATCATAATATTTGTTACCGAGCACAAACAAAAGCCTTTACTGTAATTTTTATTTTATTATGACTGCTATCTAAAGTGTMATCTGCCGTTTTGATTTTAAACATATATATACAATTATTAATAAACGTTTTATTGCACTGTATACTATATTAGGAAACAATAAATAGATAACATTTCCCTTAAACATAAGATTTAAAGCGTTTGCCCGATTATTATCAACAAAACCATTTTTTGAAGCAGCAGTCTTACTAATCGAACACCTATCTCAAGGTAGAAGAGCTACAAGATGGCGCAGGCAATATTTGAAGTGCTTGAAGGTAGTAATATTTCTTCAATAACTGCGTAGTTATAAACACCATTACGTACTAAAGAATATTTTCGAAAACGCTATGTTCGTAGCTCATTCATAAAATGCTGAAAACATTTTTAAAATCACGCWTAGTCTTTTTTTTCTGTGACAAAATCCGACCATCCCCGTGGAGGGGAGTGTAAACAAACGATTTACCTCAGGAATATTTTAGCATCCAAGTCATTTTTTCTTTTGTGGTCAGTTTTTATTGTGCTGCTCCAAATGAAATACGCTTCCGCAGGGGGGGCTTTTGTAAAATAATAAAATAAAGTGGTATAAAAAATAGTGAGCTAAAGCATATTGAGACATGTCCTGATGCATCTCAGTAATCCAGGTAAAAAATCAAAAAGAAATAAATTGTGTAGGTCTTCTGGACGGGTTCTTCTCTAATGAAACGTTTCGTCTCTCCTCCAAGAG